CAATCTATTCTATGATTCTATGATCATTTGTAAACCAAAAGAAAACCCACAACCCTGTCACCGAAATAACCCTATTATTAACCTGGCTTATTCTGCTCATTTTCTTCAGCTTGCATCTGAGATAAAGAGAGTACTGCAGAAGTCAACAGTGTACTACTGACCCTACAGACACGGCAAGCAGGCTCAAATGACCTAAAGCTCAGAAAGGTCAGCACGTTAAGTAAGTCCCTTGCACCACATTGGGTTGTTTGGGTGTTTTTTGGTGTGGGTTTTTTTGTTGGTTTTGGGTTTGTCATTGGTTTTGCAGGGTTTTTGCATTTTTTGTTGTTTGGGGTTTTTTAATTTTTTCTTTCAAGCTACACTTCCAGCACAAAAAGGCAGCAAACAAAACAGAGGCATCAAGGAAACAGTTTCTCCTAGTCCCAGCTCTACCACCACCAGGAACAATAAGCCTTGCATTGCTTATCTATTTCTTCTATTAAGAACTCATTAATGCAAAAATACAGAAAGGCAACATCCATCAACTTTTGAAGTACCCCCAGGCAGTAGAGTGAGCAAAACACTGTGCATAAACTCACAGAGAGCCAAGTGCATTCACCCTGCGGGCCCTCAGACAGTAGGCAGATGAGGTCAAATCTCACTCTTTTGCTTGTGGGCAGAGAGCAGCAATCAGCCCTCACTTTGCACTTCTGTAAAAAGGACTCTTTCACAATGAAGAAGAAAATTTGATCTGTTATGGCACTACAACAGAATGCCTGAAAAAGACTGTCCTGTCAGTATCTGAAGAAATTTTTTTCTGTCAATGCTTCAAAATTGAAGTGATATTGATGTTGAGTTTTAGAAGACATCTGTTACTAAGACTGCTTTTCCAGCCCAGATGGTTCAGAAGCGTTCACAGAAGTACCACCACAAAAATTACATACCTGTCTTTGTCATGAAGTTCCAGCTGTTCCTTTGGATGGCCAACATCATATGCCCGACCTTCATATAACAAGCAAGCAGCGCTGCCAGCAGGGCAGTTTCTGGTCTCTCCACTTGAACTCCCTGTTACAGAACATAGAAAATACAACATAGTACTCTATTTCTAAGCCCTGCTCTCCCTGAAGTGTCTTGCCATTTTATCTGTTGGCTCACTTAACATTTACTGCTTTACCCTTTTCTACAAGTTACCTTTAAAACTGGTTACATTACAATGTGAAGCTGGCAAGACAAATTGTGATATACAGGCGGAAGTTCATTCTGCCCTGTTTTTGGACAGCAAATGCATCCTTCGTGCTGAAGTAGCTGCAGCTAGTTTCCAGTTGCTAGTACAGCTGCTGGATGCACAGGGATTTGAGAATTTCCAGAAGGGTGCCAAGTTGTTTGTTTGCTGGCTGTGGGGTTTTGTTTTCAGTTTGGGTTTTTTTGTTGTTTCCCTCCTCCAACACCAAAATCATACCAAGTAATGGGTAACTCCTCCTCATAGGGAAGGGTTTTTTTTTCCCCTCCTTTGTTTCTTACAAGCCAATATACCCAAAGCTGTCAGCAAAAAGTTTCAGACTAATGGAATTTTTGAAAGAACAGATCTGCCACTAAAACTAGAAGTATTAAACCCTTAACAGGGGCACAAAATATATATTTAACTGCAGAGTAAAAAAAAACCCAACAGTGCAAGCATATAGCTAAACTAGCCTTTTCAGCAAGTTTCAAATGAGTGAGTTTTCTGGTTTCATTCCTTACATGTATAGCTCCCAATTGACATGAAAGTGCTAGCTATGCACCATTACTTACCCAAGCACCTAAACACTATTTTAGATGCATCTCAGGACATTCACTTGGAACTAAGGAACAGCCTGAACTGGAGCCCAAAGTAATAAATTTAGAGCATATGAACTGCTATGAAACATCTTGGTTCTATCTGGCAGCAAACAGAAGCAGTTACAACACAAGCTGAGCTCTTCAAGTCAGTCCAGTTTAAATCAACTTTTCTAACTATACTTGCCCATCCAGGAGAGGTGTATCTCTGAACACGTCAATAGTTGGAAAGTAAGACTTGGCTTCACAGAAAGCAACTTTCAAATCATGAGAAGTAGCTCGTGCTACTGCCAAGTCCCAAAATACTGATCTTTGGTCATAGGACAACCTCAACTGAGGCACTGGAAAAGAACCACACTACTAGAAATTTATACACTGACAAGTGACACAAGCAAGTGTTCGCACCTAAGTCCCTGCAAACGTTTATGAACAAAGATTCATCATCAGAATCATCCACCAAGTAGTGTCCTGAAACTTTGATGAGAGGATTCAAGTCGTGTTTCTTCCAATCTTTATCAAACACATAGCAAGGGACCTAGAACAACAGCAAAAAATTACATAAAATCCACACTACACAAGTAGGGAGAATTTATGAACACGGATATATAAAGCCAAGTTAATATGTGGAAAAAGTTTTTACTTCTGGAAGCTCAACTAGACTTAAAGCTAGATATGCTGACTAAAAAAAAAGACATCCAAAGTTAGCCTTTTCTGCTCTAGCTTTTAGAAGAGTTTTACCATAAACAACCATTCAAATGACAAAAAAAGTTTGAAGAGTTATTTAGAATTCTCAGCTCCACCCACTTTCACCAGATGCTTTACATGCCTGTAAAAAAAGTCAGGTCTATGGAGGTTGTTTGGATTCATTTAGGGTGGGGACAGGTGGTTAGAGTAAAAGTGATGTGTGAAGAGTAACTTCTACATGGATAATACACAGATTACCTCTTTCGCAGGTTTAAACGAGTCTTTCTTGCAAGCCACAAAGGTCCTCCATTCAAAATAGTGGACACACTCTGTTGCTGTCACAAATTCAGGGGTACCCTATTTAAGGGATAAAAAATAATTATTTGAAAAACAGATTTCAGTTTTATTTTACATCTGTAGACAGCAATAAGTTCATTCAAGAGACTAAGAAAAACAGAATACATGTCACAGAGCAAAGGTACACAGTTTCTTAACAGCACTTGTTAACAGTAAATTTGTTATTTAACAGCTTTGTTGATAAACTCGGGGAAATGCAGGATGCCAAATCCTTCTCAGTCTGCATATGCACTGATTCTCAAACTAACATATGCCAGTCCTAATATGCAGCAATTGTACCACATCTTTTAGAAGCACTCACTATGCCAATTGATACTGGCAGAAGCATCAGCCACATGCAGTTACTACAAAGAAAAACAGTAATACAAATTTGTATAAATAGATGAATAGCAAGGCCATGCATGGTGTACCAGTTCCCTGTCTTTCATCTGACAAAGAAGACTGATAAGCAATCTCTTCTGCTACACAGAAAGAATACCTCTGAGCTCAGCTATGTATTTTTATAGGCTTATGTTACACACATTTCTATCTATTTCCAGGTGAGGGTTCTACCATTGTTCAGGGCTGGATGCTCAACTGAATGTCTCTGTTTCAAGACAGACAACAATCAGATTTTTCCATTCTCCCTCCATCACCTCAGCTAGAAGTACTTTAGCATATTTAAACTGACTCCCTCCACATTTAAACCTGCCACAAAAGTGCTGGAAACAAGTTGTTACAGACACTATTACAAAATCCTTTTACTAGGTCACATGAAGAATAGGTGTTAGAACTATGGTAACTAGAAGAGTTTGAAGATCATTGTGATCTGGTGTTAGAGTTGGAGTTGAGCAATAATTTTTAATTTACTTTAAGGAGTCATCTGCTGAAACAGGACAGGAAGTATTTAAATCTCTGCTGCACTGACACTGAATTGGCGAGATTTCCAAGAGGGAATGTGCAACAGCATCATCAGTGCCAACAGCAGCACCCATCACTACTTATCACTGTTACATAGATATGTAAACTGACAGCAGTCAGTACAGAACATCAAGCTGTGGTATCAGTTAAGTGCATGGAAGGGGTAACTCCAAAAGCACATGGAGGTGAACTGCATACACACACGCGCCTAGGAACTTTTTGGGGATCTCTGTTCACCCTTTAAACAGATTCTCACAAACAACTACTTCCCCAGAAGCCCAGCTGGACAGGTAAGCACCGTTAGGTCAACTCTGCACAGACAAAACCTAACGCTTGCTGTTGTCAGCTACTTGACCCGTAACAGAGGTCAGTCATTTTCTTCAATGCTGTTCTATTAAACAACCATGCTAGGTCCACAGCTTGGGCACAGCCAGCACTTAAACAATAGGTCTCACTGTTACAGCACCCAGTACACTGTTGACCCATTCCTCCATATTACACTATTAAAATACTAGTGCAATTCCTGTCAAGATATTAAAGACCCAAAAGACTCTGATCAGAGCTAAGCTGCAGATCTGCAATCATTTTCTACTGGGACTGAATTTTGAAAGCCACAGTAGATAACAACCTTAATTTGGTACTAAAACATAACTGGCTCAGTAATTAGTACATCGACAAGTACAGCAAGTCTCCTTAAACAGCAAGTTAGAAGTACTTGCCATTTCCATAGAAGACAAGAACATGTGATTTAGACTTACCAGTGTTTTCCCACACAGGAAGTTAATGTTGCTTTGAATTTGGTGCTGACTACCTTGCTGCAAGCAGTGACCTGTAGTGTTGAGTTCCAGAAGACTTCTAGAAAGTTTTTGCAAGCCTATGTCACCTAAGGTTAAAAAAACAAGAAAAAAACCAAACAAAAGCCAGGGGTTATCATAACAGAGCAGCTTCACAGAAACTCAGAGAGGCTCTAGTTTCAAGCACTAAGCAGCACAAGACATACCAGTCCACCTGAAGACAGTCTTTGAAGAACTTACTACAACTGAAGACCTTCCTTGCGGTTCTTGCGATTTGGAAGACTAGATCCTAAATTAAGATAGTGTTTGACATCTCTAATCACACTTCTACTTTCTCAAAGGTTTTCAGCAAACACTTTGAATGTTAATAAGCCCAACAGCAAGTGCCAGTAAAAACTAGTCACTACCTTAGGAACAAGGGACTCCATCAGAAAACTGTTAGAACTAGTTTCACATCCCACAATTCACTCCTTCCTCCCATCAGCTTCTATTTATCAGCTTTTTAGCCTTTAAGTCTTTTATATAAATAGCATCAGCACAATATGAGAGCAAGTCTATCATAGAATGATTTGGGTTGGAAGGGACCTTTAAAGGTCATCTAGTCAACCCTCCTAGAGGGAGCAGGAACATCTTCAACTAGATCAGGTTGCTCAGAGCCCCACCCAGCCTCACCTTGAATGTTTCCAGGGATGGGGCATCTACCACCTCTCTGGGCAACCTGTGGCACCACTGTTACACCACCCTCATCATAACAAATGTCTGCCTTGTATCTACTCTGCATCTATCCTGTTTTTAGTTTAAAACCATTTCCCCTTGTCCTATCCCTACAGGCCCTGCTAAGTCTGTCCCCATCTTTCTTATAATCCCCCTTTAAGTATCGAAAGGCTGAACAACCCCAACTCTCTCAGCCTTTCTTCATAGGAGACGTTTTCCATCCCTCTGATCATTTTTGTGGCCCTCCTCTGGACCAGCTCCAGCAGGTCCATGTACAGAACTGGACATGGTACTCCAGGTGGGGGTTTCACCCACCAAGTAATGGAGTAGAGGGGTAGAATCACCTCCCTCGACCTGCTGGTCACACTTCTTTTGATGCAGCCCAGGATACCGATGGCCTTCAGGGCTGTGAGCACACACTGCCAGCTCTACTCACATCTTAATCTTAAATCTACTTAATGAAGAACCCACTGGTGCATGGGCACAGCCATCATACTGATGCTGCCTGCAGACAAACCCAACACAGATCTGCTGCCTCAGTGCACGTCTCCATGCAGCTCCCATGCCCTGCAGTACAGCTTGCATGCTGCATGAAGGCTGGGGTCAGTGCTGCGTCACTGCGCATCCCTCTCCTCCCCAGCACCTGACGTCAGCGGAAAGGTGAAGCACGTTTCAAGTCAAGCTCAGGACACTGAAACCTTCCTGCTTAAACCTATTTTGGTTAGCATTAAGCACCAAGCCTTTTTAGATCTAGCATGCCAACTTCACCCTGGCCAGTTTTGACAGGTAGATTTTAATTCTGCAGAGTTTGGGTTGAACTATAGAGAATGCTATAAAATGTGAGTATTGACCAGCCTTCCCCTTTTCCATTTTTGTTGATGTCTACACTAGGAAGAAAGCAAGTGAATTCTGTAATTACTGCAGGCAGCAGCTTTGCACCTAGGCCAGACGTTTCATCTTAAAAACACACTCGCTGGAACACTGCCCAGCCTGTTATCTCCTCACTCAAGGCAAGCAAAACTACAGCCAAGTAATATAGTCTTGAGAGCAAAAGGAGAAGTAAGCAAACTGGGCAGGAAGAGGGTACAAGAACTTCAAAAATACAGTCAAGGTAATATTCTGCAGAAACACCATTCCATGCACCCATACTCAAGCCTGTTACCAGCTGCCAGTGCTTCTCCTAGTGATGGGCACTGTTTGGCATCTTTCCAAAAAGTTTCCCAGCGCTATTTGTTCAATCCAGTTCTGCAAAGCAACTAGGAAGAGATCCATTTGTGATTGGCTCTGATGACCATTCGCTTGCATTGAACTCCAGCAGAAAGAAAGTGACTGTAGCCACCAAACTTGCAGGTAAAGCTGAAGAGGTGGCAGTTAGAAGAGAACTCAATGCTAACGCACATGGCATCCCCTCAGTAGCTCAGGGCTCTTCTATTCATGCTGCATGTGCTTACACTAACTGCGTCACAGGAAGGCACATTAAGATGTTCCTACCTAAGCAGCCATGCACAGCACTCCTTGTATAACCAGGGTGACAAGTATTAGAGACCGGGCAATAAGCCTCTGCCTTCTCAAGGGAAGGTAAGAGTAGAAACATCGCAGCTCAGACGAACAGCAGCGCAGGCTAAACCTGCACATGCATGTGCACAGGGTGAGAACCTGCAGCAGCGGAGCGTGTTACCACCACTGCAGTTCAGTGCCACCTCCCAGGCACCTGGAGGCTGTCAGTGGTTCATGCCTTTTCTGCTCTCTCGCACTCTTGTGATCAAGGCTATCTTCAGGTTTTAAGACTTCCAGCACTGGTGCTGACAAAGGTACCACGCAGCCCTTTTGAAAACCAAGAGCTACATGCTAATTTGAGAGCAAGATTTCTACTTATCACATCATTGGTTAGAAGATGCTGTCATGGGCCTCTTTTCTTCCCTAGCAGAAGGGAAGATACTGTGTTGTCTTCATTCATTAGCAGAATGAAGACAACACAATTTTCAAGTCAAAATAGTAGCGTATAATAACAATATGCACTTGATTAAAAACTCTGGTTATAAATGTACAGCTTTAAGGTCCAACTTAGCAGAGAACTAAGGCAGCACTATCTGAGGACTTACCTCAATGCTCTGTAAGCATTAGTTTTCTCTCAATTCTGAGAATACATTACATCACTCTAAAGGCTGTGCGAGCTGACTCCAATTTCCTCAGTTAAAGTGATATTCAAGAAAAATCAAGTTAAGCCAGTACATCTTGTTTACTACAGGCCAATATGCATGCACACTTAAAACTAGTTAGGGAACTGGTTAAAAGTTTTAGCAAGAATCTCTTCAGTGGCATGACTCCTCCCATCCCTGCTCACAGAGCAAGTACCTTTCCCTCACATCATCAGCTTCCTGTGAGCTTCCTTGCAGAGCACCAGTTCTGCAACCACATCTTCCATAACATCAAGCTCTCTCTTCAGTGATCACTCATGTTTCTTCATGACTTTGCACTCCTTCCACAAAGTAACACTCTAAAAATCACCTAGTACAGCTCACAAAAATTAGCACCAGATACTGACTTATCACAACTGTGTAATATGAAGTATCAAAGGCATTGGCCACAACACCTTTTACTCACTGACTCCTTCATCTGTTCAGCTGTTTGGAAGTAGAAAAGCAATCATGGAAGACATCCAGTCAGTCTTCCAGAAGAAGGGGGCATTCAGGTGGCAGCTATCATTTCATGCCCAGTCCTTCTACTACAGCTAGACAAAGCATATGTTGCACCACTGAGGTCAACAAACAATTATGCTAATATTTCCCCTTTTAGCTTTAGTAGCGGCTCAGCTTTTCTGAATGTCACACGAGTCACTAGGTGTCACACTAAGTTCAATAAGTACCACGTCATTTCCATTCTCACTGACATTCAAGAACTAAGCATTTGCCTACCCTTTGAAAACTTCTAAGGTCAATCAATGAAGCTGAAGTGCTTTTTCTAGGAGAGGCCTTTGAGGTCTCAACGCTGGTACATCACACTGACACACGGTTAACATTAGCCAGAAGGCTTCCCGTGGATGCAGACTGAACGCAGTCACAGAGCATACGATCTTACCCTCTATCAAAGCTGGGATCAACAAACAGAACCAGCTCTATAGCTGTTACCTCTTGCATAGCTGATATTTAAAAGCAAAACTACTGTTTGCAGTGAAAGCTTCTTTCTGAAAGAATGAAGAAGAGTTCTGATTAAACCCATATTTGAAGAAAACTTATAACTCAAAGTTTATTAGCTGGCAAATTGCCCTTCTTCCCCCAAATCAAAGGCCTTAGCTGCACTCAACTTTGGCATACAAGTAATCTCATATTAACTGGATTCCTTGAAGAAAGGTATGCAGCTTAGCTTCCAGGTAACTGGAATCTACACTGGGAATCTACACCTGCCTAGATGTGGATTAAGGGCATTCCTCTTTTCTCATTAAGACTGATTTTTTTTTTCCCTTTTTTTTTTGGACAAAAAAGAAGCTTGATAATCTGTTAGCACGATCTCAACTCAGCGTGATGATGCTGAAGCTTCAATGGAACTACAGAGGCAGCACGACGAAGCATGGCAGGTGTCACTAATAAGCCTCAGACTTAGCATGAACAAGAGCAAAACTTAAGACAATTTGGCCAATAAAACAAAGCAAAATTCAATGTCAGTGTTAACTGCAATGTCTTGATTTCTTTATTTATTGCAGGGTGGCTAAAAACGTATCTATCTTGAACAAGATTTGTGGCTTAACCCTCATGGCCAATAAAACAAAGCAAAATTCAATGTCAATGTTAACTGCACTGTCTTGACTTCTTTATTTATTGCACGGTGGCTAAAAACGTATCTATCTTGAACAGGATTTGTGGCTTAACCCTCGAGAGTCAGTTTAAACAGCCTCTGCAAGACCAACTTATGATTGTTGCCAAACGCTTTTTCCACCCAGTAGCAGTCAGGCAATAAGGCACTCACGGTTTACATATGGCAGAATATTTGATACTGCTCATGGTCATCACCCAGTTCTGTTCTCCCTTCCTCTTTCCAGAAGAAGCATGGAACAAAACCTACACAGGCTTCTAAGTCTCACACTTCCCTGGGGAGAACAGGTTTCCTTAACCTGCCACATTGCAGTCTCACTCAAAAAAGCATGTTTAAACAGATGCCCAGATGCTGCTTGCTTTTGTAATCCACAGGCAACTGAAGCCTCAACCACATAGGAGTTGAGACCCAGATCAGCAGGTTTTTAGGAAACAAAATTCTTGCTGTATATTATAGGAATGAAACGCAGAACAGCACCAAGTGGTCTACTGAGATGTCATGCTCCTCAAAGTAAAAGATGCTACTATATGCAATTGCAGTTTGAACTCAGATGCATCTATCCAGT